AGATATGAAGGCTACTACTAGAGGATGCTCGCAGCTTTAAAATTAGAATCAGTCGATTTCATCAAGGATGAAGGATAGGCTGACTCTCACAACAATTTTTCGACTAATTATTTAGAGAAGTGAGTTTCAGTTTTTAATTATTGACTATTCTATTTTAAGTCAGATGTATAAAGCTCACCGTTTTTAGTTTCGTTGCTATGTGGATGATGCAAGTTTTTTGACTATCTTCAAGAAAATTTTTGGCTTCCTTTCAAATAAAATTATAAAATTGTGACTAAAAGATAGAAGAAAAAACCCAGTAGGTTCTAAACGTAGATATACAATTTCGCACACATTTTGATGATGAAGAAAGGTCTTCAGTCTATTACACAAATTAGACACTCATGATTGACCAAGTTTGAAAGAGTGAAAATAGCTAGAGATGGATCTCTTGACTCCAAAAGTGGGAAGTGAAGTTTCTTCATTCACCACACTTAAATAACACTTTAAGGGCGGCAACAAACATTGAAGTATTCCAAACCTGGTTTTAAAAAAAAATGGGTAAAAAATGGAAGTTTTCCAACTATCACAGTTTTCCTAGATTATTTTTGATACTTAAAAAAATGTCTTAATACTCAGATCCTTCCTGAATTATCCATGTCTTGAAAGAGGACTGAAATTTGAAAGTATTTTTGGGGCAGGTTACAAAGTACTTCCTACTGAACAGCTGCAGAGAGAAATTGAAGCTGTTTTTCAACTTGTGAATGATCATGTCGGTTGCCTCCCATCGTCCAAGCGGAGAAACTATGAAAACACTTAAATCTCTTAAATAATAATTTTCAACCAAGAAATTCATTTATTTTTCCTAGTAGAAGTCAAAATACATTTGTAACTACTCACCTAACTTTTCAAACGAAGCTACCGCCAAGCTAGGAATTGCAAGGAAAGGAATCGCCAAACCATCTTGGGCAGCAATTTTAAAACTTTCATTGAGACTTTGACTAAAATGTTAAGTCAAAACATGCCAGCATTTCAAGCTGGCTTAGTACTAACATAATGATTGTTTGTAGTGTAACCATGGTACACAATGAACCAGTTCACTGTACACATAATAGTGATGAGAAACTAAAACATTTACTGCCTATATTTGATTTTTATGGCTTAGAAAAAATTATGAATGTTTTTGAAGGTAAAGTGTCATTTTCATTATGAAGAATAGAAGAGAGACAAACGAGTTGAAACACTAGATGATGATTAACTTAGTTCTGAAATTGTAATTTTAAATTTCGACAATAAACGATCAATTATCAATAATTAACTCCTTTCAGATAGAATCGTATGTTTTTTAAGGCTTTTAAAAGTTTTGATTAAAATAAAGATAATCATGGTGGAGTTCTACTTAAATGTGCGATTAAATCCTATGTCCTGAAAAGTTTAACATTCTTCCATTAAATGAGATTGATCAAATTCTATTAACAGCAGCCTAGTTCAGAAATGAAGGCCGCAATCCATAAAATTTACTATGATTGAAGCTCCTTTAAACTGAGGTAACAATGGAGGATGAAAAGAGGGAATTTTGCAGAAATATTCATAGGAATAAAAAAATTGAATCAATGTATCAAATGTACTAAGGACAGTTAGTGCTTGTAAACTGTTTCACAGCCACTAAAGTAACATATTCCTCCTTTAATTAGAGAGAAAATTTCTCACCACTTTTTTTTAAAGTTCTGATCAAAAAGTCTACGAAAGCTAGGTCTAGAAGTTTCTAAAAACGTAAGTTAGTGGAGAGATGAATTACTTTAAGAAATAGGGAAAATAAAACCTTAATAGGCAAATCGTTCAACAATGATTCATTTTTCTACATCAATGATTCAGGTAGTTTATCCAAGTCTAACATCAGCTCAACCAGAAAGAATCAACTGATTCACCTTTTTGGTAAAAAATCAGACTTTAATCAGTTAATATGGCTGTAAAGGATGAACGTTTGAATGCTGTAACCAAACACTTCAGGAAGAATAGGACACCTCACCAGTTATGATCTTAAAATACTTCTTCCTTCGCAACTTGTAGTTATGACGCCTTCAAACTTAAATTTTTACAGAATCCTGATTCTTTACAGCAATTAATTTCCTAGTCATTTTCCGCAATAATACTTTATCATATAAGAATTTATTAAATTCAGAGCGTTGTGTTCTCTGGCAGAAAATTAACTTCCCATTGCAGCTGTTGAATTGTTGATAGCTGCAACATCTTTGTAACAGGATTCCAAAGAATTTTACTGAAAAGAAATTTCATTTCACGCTGCTGCATACAAGCAAATTTGACTGTGCTTTTTTGTTGGGATTAAAGGAATTCATGAAAGTCTGAGTACAACCTGTTGCATTAGATGAATAAACAATATACACCCGATTAGTATTCAATTTAAACTGATTCACTTTGGATAAGCATTTCGCTGCATTCAATGAAAGCTTGATTACAACCACTGGAATGGATGAAAATCGGATGGTAATCTGACATTGATTCGACTAGTCGATATTGAGTACAGGGAATCCTCGCAGTGGCTCAGAATATAGCGCAGTCATGTTGAATGAATGTGAAGAGTGCTCGGCCACAATCGATTAAAGTTGAGGTGATTCTCTTGGCCTCGGATCACTGCGGATTTTCAGTTGAGTTTCCTTCGGATGCAGGCTGGAGGCAGGGTTGCTCTCTTAGTTAGTGCTCCGTGGCGTTTTTGTTGAGCTCCTTGATCTGCTTGATGAGGTATGCCTTCTCCTCAATAAACTGCTCGTCCTCTGACCGGTCTGTGTGGAACTTGGTCAGGAAGTCTATTAGCTTTTCTTGATTCCGTAAGAGAATGTCCAGTATCGCTTTTGGTTTGTTGGGATTTGCTACAAAAACCTAGAGAAAACCCATCACTTAAGTTCACCATTGACTAAAAAAATGAGCATTTACATGGAAAATAAAGGAAGAGAGAATGCTCCTGAGAGAGAAAATAATGCTAACAGAACATGTTCTTTAAATGACAGAGACTATTACAAGATCATTCAAACGATCTTCCATTACTTTCCCTTCCTTGCTAGCTATTTTAAGTGTAAAAGCTGTCCATTCTGAGGACAGGGTCATGCTCAAAAATTTGTCATCTAGCAAGAAAAATAACTAAAAATATTTGTCCTCAATTAAAACGGACAATCCAACGCTCCATTTAATTTACTTCAGCAGACTTATTATTGCTAATTATTGAAAGTATGCCTTGGTAGATAAAAAATACAATGAGACTAAGCTGAAATTAAGTTATCGGCTTCAACTATTGCACCTTGTGCTCAGTATTTGTCGTGCCTTTATTTGTCGGATAATAGACAAACTATAAAAGCATTCTTTGTGGATTTATTATTAGTCGATTCACCTGACCTGGTGCAAGCGTGACTTAAAAATTGAAAGCATTCTATATCAGGTTCATCTTAGAAAGCCAGGAATAATGAAATCATGTCGATAATCAGCTTGGTAGTTAATATTTCTTCTTATAGTGTTGCTTGTAGATGGATTTTTGCAGACCAAGAGATCATACCGAGAAATATTAAGATGAAAATACAGACTGCACAACAAGCTGACCTTTAAAGAAAAATCTAAAACTCAGACTTCAACTCATCATAAATAAGTTCATTAGAGAGAAACTTACCTTAAATACATGGAAAGCTTCAAACTGAATGTTGCGAGATTTTTCCTTTAACATATTCATCATTAATTTAAGATTATCTGGATTTGATATATATTTGGTCATCACCTGTAAAATAAGAAAAATTAAGTCATGAAGGGATGGAACAAAAAAATTTCATCAGGCTTGAGAGCATGGTGGTTATATGGAAACTAGATGAAGAAGAAAAAGACGCACTTGCACCTAACTTGTTATTAGATTAAAGATACCTGTATAAGGTTTGAATATTTTATGAATAAAAATGGAGAAAAAAGAAAAACGAAAGAATTGAAAAAATTGTTGGCGTTTATTGCAAAAAGTACGGGATGAGGATGCTCAGCTTGGCATAAATTGTAGGAGAAAAAGGGTTTAAAATTAGGATGAGTGCGTAATGTAATTTTTAGATGGCCTTTTAAAAAAGCAATCATAATTTATTCGCTACCTATTCTCCTAGAATTAGGTCAAAAATATGAACAATGTAAACAGAATAATGAGCTTGAAAATAGATAAAGACAGGGTTTCTATAATATCTTTATGTTCCAATTCTCTGACTTTTTTTGCTTTTCTTTGAATTTAAAGTTTTCAAATGTTCTGACTTTCCCTGATTTATCAACAAAACTTTCACTTAGATTTTTTCTCTCTTTAAATTATACTGACTTTTACTGAACTTTGGAAAGTTTTCCATTTTAGGGATTCAAGTTATGGAAAAAAGCATTCGAAATTTGTTCATGATCTTTCAAATATGATTGGCTAAAGTTTCAGAGCCAATACGTTACTCAGAATATTCCTTGACATTTCCTGACATTCTCAAAAAATCTTGTTCCACCTTTCCAGGCTCTCCGGGCAGCTGAAAACCGAGTGAGAGGCAAGAGTTGACAGCAAAACCAGTGAGTATTTGTCAGAAAAGAGAGGAAAAAGTCCAAGGGAAGTAAAAACTCACTGTGAAGTTGTGTCGATCCAATAAGAGTTCACCAAGTAGTTTGAGACTTTGCCGTCTTGTGACATAGTTCTCTGAGTTGAGTAGCCGTTGGTAATGTGAAAAAACTTTATCGTAATTGTGCTCCAAGAATTCTGCACATAGGATTTTGTGACGTGTCAGCAGTTCCTGGAAACAAAACAAAATTTTCTCTTCTGTAGCAAATTAAAATTTTAGGTCTCATGAACCTCAGACTGTTTCCGATGGTGACGATTCTTCACTCTTAAGCTTTTTTCTTGCAATATGTCTATGGGCGGAACTTCAAACTTCTTGTGGAGGGGGAGGGGAGGAGCAGAGGGGCACTTCATTGAGGAGGATCTGGAAAACAATAAAAGACACCCCATGAAGGGGGATCTGTGGCACTCCCTGAGCTCCAAAAGGATCTTCTAGGTGGCCTTTCCTGGAAAATTTTGATAAGTTGAATTGTCTCAAGAGCAATTTGGGGCTATTTTTACCAAAAAATTGATCAAACTCTAATTTCTAGGACAGAGATATGTCACAAACTTACTTAACATAATTTTACATTTCTTAGGAGGTGGATTTGGACAGGCCCCTGCGTCCCTGGTTCTGACCCTAGTAAAGTCCGAGTTTTAAAAATATTAGCAAACTGAACCCTTCAACTGTTGGAAATGCAAAAGCAGCCGCCCTCAGGTCAAGAATGCAAAATCATTTGACCTAAACTTTTTTGGGCCCGATCTTCGTCTCCTGCAGTCGAGTATCCTTGTGACGGTGTAACTGTTTCCGGGAGCCACTCCTGTTGATACTTGCATTCTTCACCTCCTTCAAATTTCCTGCTACTGTGCACATTCGAAAATTCAAATCAGGTCATGAATGCAAGCATACTTGGCAGTAGCAAGCAAAGGGTTGAATATATGAGTCTTTTGTATGGTTCCCTCTAAACAAGGTTGTTTATGGTTTTTTTTTTTTTTAAACGAATCCCTACCTAGGCGGCTATTGTGGAATTCACAGGTAGTAACAATGGGTACTTTAAAATCAGGTTGCTCTTTTGGGCCCTAATTTTAATTGCGGAGGCACTAGTGAAGGTTTGGTGGACTTTTTGGGTTTCACAATTGTCCATACTCTTCCTATACAGGTATTCTAGTAACAGTAGTTCATTTGAAGCAGGCTAATTTTGGCGTTCTTTTGGCAGATTTCTTGGCCTGGTAGGCAAATAGATGTAAAAATATATTGGCAAGGAAAGAGTTAATATTCCTGGTAACATTCCTTCAGTCACAAGATTAAGAGTATTTTGTTCCTCCTTAAACAAAGTAATTATTCTTACATTTGAATGCGATTTCTACCATACAATTTAAACAGAAGTGTGTTGCTCCCCAGCTAGGCTTCTCAGTTTTGCCTACATATAAAGAGGAAGAAAAATATGTTCAGTGATTTGCAAGAAAAGAATAGTGACTTACTTTGAACGTAGAAAAGGCATCAGAGGCAATATCAAAAGTGGAGACTTCAACATAGCGGAAAAAATTGAAAAAATCTTCAGACTGAAGCATAATTTTGGCCAAGGCCTCATACCGAGCACACTCTCTTAGCATTGTTCCGCAGTTAAGGGCTATTTCCTGATGTTGGTATCTGTCAAAAATCAATAGAATATTGAAAAAAAATTCAAACCCATGGCATACAATGGAGAAGTTTCTAGGAATATAGTCAGATACATTAGACTAGAGTGACTTCTAGTCTTAACTGACGCTCTTTTCGTCAAAAAATACCGTAAAAATTTTGACACTGGCAGCGACAGTACGGTAGGTATTGGCATGCACTTTCATATTGAACTGCATGTTGAGATTGCTCAACTTTAAAGTTCATTCATAAAAATGGGGTTGTATAAAATCAATTGTGGATTTAAAGGAAGAATTTATTCTTAAAAATGTAATTTTTTTATGAAATATTTTTCATCAGTTTCTACTTTACTGTTGAAGGAAGGGTTTGGCTAAAAAGTAATGTCCTGGAAGCAAATTTAACACCTGCAGCAAAAAAAGACATGTCATGAGATGAACAGTCAATTCAATCAATCAATCAATTTTAAAATTAGCTGATGAAACAAAGAAATTACCCGCTCATCAGGGTGAAGAGAATTTCTGGTTTTGTGCAGATGTACTCAACGGTCGGAGACCTGGTTCCTATTTGTCGTCGAACAATATTGTTGAAGACCTGTGCCACATCTTTCTTTCCCTGAAGCAATGAAGCAAAATAAAAGTAAAGATAAGGTAGGTACTTTGTTTAATAGAAAAGTTTGCTGTAAATTTGAAATTATAATGGCTAGATTCGAAAGTTTTTGACAAATCAGTTTCCTGTATAGAGTTAAAAATTCATGATTTTTTTGCTCCCCAAATTTTCTCGAGTTTTTAAGAAAAAGTTTCTTGGTAAAAACCCGAATTAACTCTGCATTCATATTTTCTTGAGGGGGGCGAAAAATGAAATTTCTCTTCAAAATGTACCAAATGGACCGCGTTAAACAGAAAGGAACCAAGCCACATTGGCTATTGCCAAATTTAATTGGGCAATTTAATTTTTTACATGAAAATGGTTGTGCGGAATTTTGTGCAAATTTCAGTGAAAATTCTCCATGGTACGAAGCAAATTCCTTAAAATTTTCAAAGAAATCCGAACAAACGTTCTCTCGTAAAAAATTTAATTGCCCAGTTAAACTTGATAATAGCTGATGTGGCTTGGTTCCTTTCTGTTAAACTCGGTCCAAGTAACCAAAAAAATAACCTTTTCATGTTTGGCCCTTGCCTTAAAAGGAGAAAGAGAAGTACAGTCAAGAATCACACTAGTGTTATTGTTAATTAAAGTTTTGGGGGTCCCTCCACAGGATTGAGTAGTGTTACAAAGGGTTTATTCATGAATACACATACGGCATTGGGAGGAAAATGAGAGAACAGGGTGTTTTCTGACTGATTTTTCAATATATTTTCCCCAAGTTTTATGAAGTCTTAACACTCCTACTATTAAAAATGTAGGAAACAGGCATCAGAAAAATCAAGAGAGAGAACCAAAGATATGGTGGATGTTGTATTAAATTAAGAGAAATAAGCACATCCTTGAGCAACAAGCAAGCAACAAAATTTCTTCTTTTATAAAATACTAACCTCAAAATCTATACGGTTGAGGTTGGTGATAAGCAGAAGCAGAAGATGAGTGTTGTACATTTCTTGTGCTAGCTGTGCAACGATGATGTCTGTTTGTGGCTCAGAGTCGGCTGTTCCATACAGCATATTCTTTATCAAAACTAAGTTTTTACTGACATCTTCTTGAGCCTGTAAAAAACCAAAACAAACGAAATTAAATTAAACAGATTGCTTTTTCTCAGGTTGCTATACATCTCGATTCTGAGGGAGTATTTAGAATGCTTAAGAATTTTGAGAGGACCTTGAATCTTGAGTCTGTACCATGTAAACTCAACCAGGTGTATGGATATTATGTTGGAAAGCTTCACAGCAAATTAAAAAACAAACCATTAAATTTCAAGGTGTGAAAACAAAACATTATTTTAAAAAAGGATTAAATCATATTTTCACTGAAAGCGCGATATAGAAAGAGGTGACTCCTAAGAGATGGGTGCTGAACCTGGCCCTGCTGCCAAATCCTTGGATGTACCATCACGGAGCTCTTGGCAGCATTGCCAAGTATGCCGATATAACAAGTGATTCTTTGAATGAAGGACAAAAATCGATCAGTTATTATTGATGTGAATTTGACACTTTTAGTTCATTTCATGCACCAAACAGTTATTTTGCTCTATTTCACCAAACAGATTTTGGCAAAGTAAATTTTACTCAGTTTGAGGGTGATCAAATGTAATTGGCAACATTATGAAAATTTCCTAGACTTAAACAACTATGCAATCTTTTTAGCAATTTTATTCAGTATGGTAAAATCATCCCTGCTACTGTCTATTTTATATTTTACTATCATGATGGGAGCTCAACGTCCATCCAAAAATATGTAAGGAACTTTACTGATGGGTTAAACTTATGCAGAGATGTAGAAAGTTTCAAAACTTCTAAATATCCAAATTAGTTTTCCAATTTTAACCTGCTTCTGTACTGGTATTTTTTTGCCTGCTGCACCCAGCAAAGCTAGCAACCAGAAGGATAAAAGAAACCAAAACTAGTGGAATCCCCATGGGAACTAAATGTGTAAACGATCTATCACTGAATTTTGGCCAAGATAGCAATGTAAAAGGTAAACAGATCAAATAAATTATAAAAATATCAAGGAGAAAAATATGTTAATACTTTTTCAGCTTTTTTATCTCCTTTTTCAAGAGCATTGACGGCTTCTTTCAGAGCTTTGACAACCTCAGCGGGGCTTTTCTGTGATTTTCCAAAAAGCGGCATGATTCCACCTGAAATAGAGAAAGAGGGAATTTAATTTAGGTTGATACAGACAGAATTATGTAACTCTTATAAAAACAAAAAGAGAGCTTTCCCGACGCAATTGGAGGATTTATAATTCAAGTACTGACATATTTTTATTCTTCAACCACCTCTTGGAATTTTGTGGGATACCCTGTTCTTGTGAGGTTAGCATCAGAATCAAACTTCATAAGAAAAAGTATGTCATCAGAGTTTAATATCAGATTCAAAGTATGATGAGCAAGTTATACACTGCCATCGGCTCAGAATACGCTGTGGTTAGTTCCAGCTGTCAACATCAAAGGTTGTAGTATAATTTATGATGATAGAATTATTCTCCTACAATGGACAAACGATTTGATCCAAGAAATCAAAATTATTGGAAGGGAGGGAGATTAGAGAGCTACAGGATTATTGATGAGTATGAGGACGTATTTTAAAATCTGTGTGCATATGACTGCACCAGCGCTTTACATGGTTCACTTCACCAATGTTGGCTCTAAGGTTATGAATGCCAGCCCTTCAGGTGTTGATAAAGGTGACTAGATAGAGATACAGGTGGACGCAAAAATTGTCAACCTGATAACTGAATGTTGTAGATGCGGATTGACAGGACTCGTTGAGCCAAATTTTGAGGTTAGACTGCATCGCATGCAAATTTGTGCATGCAAACTTATGTGTAGGTGCTTTCCTGCCCTCAAATATGTTGCGGTGATCAACGGGCGCCGATACAGTAAAAACGGAGAAGTAATTTCAGGTTCCTACGGCCAGACAACTTGAGGCTGAGGGTTGCACTTACAAGACAAAACATAAGGTTGAAGATGATGACACTTACAGGATCAACTGTACTCGTGGGCTGTAAGCGCGGGGTAAAATTAGGAGCCCGGATGGGAAATATATTGTACGGCTTTAGAAGAGCGTCATTCTGAGCTGAAATTGTGCGGAAATTGATGGGGAAATGAAACACTTCACTGCACTTGAGAGTTGGGATGGCAATGTCTATTACGTCTTCGAACCGTCTAGTTTTCGAATGGAGTGGCTGGGTGGAACGAATGATCTTTAGAATGTGGTGGTGGGATGTCAACAAGCAATTTTCGGAGATTACACAAGGAAACGGCACATTTTACGCGTAAGAATCCTAAAGAAAGGGCGATGGACGAAATTTTTATTATTTATCTTGACGAACGACGTAAACACAACAACAAACGCAGTCATCGATGAAATGCGCATTTGCCAAGATAGCATAGATATAGAAATTAGTCAAAATTAGCGCATGTCAAGTTTTTCAAGTTTCTGTCCCAGAGTTGTATTGTACTAGTTGTAGTAATTATAAACTCAGCATGATTTTTTTAACCAGAGTCTTCCTAAGTTTCCTCTCTGACGGACACTAAATTTCAAGTCAAAATCAAAGATTTCAATCGAACTTGGGATAAAAATACGACGTAATATCGATGATACTTGGCAGCTGCGGATGGATGCGATGCAATCTTGCATTGCAATCACAAAGATAAAAAAAAATACAATCGGTGCAGTCAGAGTCAGAGTCAGAGTGGTCTCCTTTCCAGGTTTTCACACCTGCTGCCGTGTACCTAGGCCTCGGTGAATGGACAATAATGTTTTCGTAAGCCGCACTTTGTTTCCTAGTAATTTATTTGAGTATTTTTTAAATTATGTGTCACAGATGTGGGGAATCAGTAAATCCTACACTAGCCAGTTGGTACTTACCAGTTGATAGTCCAGCCAGAGATTTTGAATTCCTCAGACCATCTACACTCACTTCTAGTGCCAAATCATCTCATTTTACTCTGTATGAATCACGGGCGGACTGGTAGTCGAAAAGTTAGGAGGCGACCTAAATGTGGGGGCCCCTCCT